GGACCGTCAATATCCATTGCTGTGGTCTGGTGGTGCAACTGCTGCCTTGAGTTGTGCTGGCGCTTCAGCATGTCGATGACCGAGTCTACTGTGCAAAAGGTGCCGGTGCGGCCACAACCGGCACTGCAGTGAACCAGGATGGGACGTGGGTTAGAGTGTTCGGGTTCTTCAACCCTGGGGTTTTCCGTGACACGCACGACGGCGTCTGTTTGCTCAACCAGGCCAAGTAAGTGCGCTGGATGTGCTGGAGCGCCAAAGTCTGGCCAGCTGGAGTACTGCAGTTGCGTGATCTCGCGCATACGCTGGAATGGGAAGCCTTCGTGCGACAGCGTGAAGCGCCTCACCGTCACATATGGTTGATCTGTGCCGTTCGCCTTGTTGATGTCCTTGCTTTCGATCTGTGCAAGCGGAATCTGGATGGTAGAGGTTGAAGACCTCTTGCCTGGTGCTGGACGTTGCTTGTGACGCTGGATCCTGTCCGGTTCTAAAGAGGCTTTCTTTTCACTTAGAAACTCGAGACGTAGAGGTCCATACTGTTTCATGTCCCAATAATTGTGTGCTTTCACCTGGGCACCCTCCTTCTCTGCAGTCAGCATGACAATGACCCTTACATCCTGCTGCCAAATGACGCTCCAGAAATCATTGAAGGTGGCGGGAATGGGTGCCTGCGTGCTGATGTACCGCTTGTTGCTCCAGGAGGCCTTGATGTGGTTTGCATTGAAATAGTCGCACCCGCTGGTTGGAATGCCCTGCAGCTTGACTCTGGAGTGCTCAAACGGCCAGATGTTGTTGTATCTATTCTTGTTACCCTTTTCCAATCCAGCAATCTGGACCACGCTCTTTTGACTTTCTGGCTCTTTTGGAGAACCACCGTATGAAACGGTCGTAGACAAAGCATCTTCCATTCGCTTCTTCTCCCGTCTTTCGATAGCCTCAAACTTGTTAGAAACCATCTTCCCCTGATCCTTGCCTTCAGATGCCTGCTTCAGCCATCTAGGGAACTGCGAATGCTCCAGCTGCGCTGTCGCTTTGGCTGGGTGTTGTAGCGCTATCTGTCCCACACCACCAATCAGGTCCATGTTTTGTCTAATGTTTCCAAAGAAAGGATTGGCTGGTTGATCCGTTCCAGGCATTGGGCATCCACCCACTACAGGCGCCACCTTGGGCCCATCCCAAGCAACACCCTGGCGCGATGGGTTTTCGGATTCAGAGGTGTCACCACGCTCGACGTACTGTGGAAATGTTCTTGAAAAATCGACAAAACCACCCTTGATGATGTATGTCGTGCCCTCATAGCCTTCGGCATTGAACTTCTTGATGGTGTTGATGCAGGTTTGTGCATCCTTCAATTGGGCCGAGCTATTGTCATATACGATGATGTACTTGCTCTTCCGCCAGTTCTCAAACCGTGCCTTTGTCTCACTATCCTTGAACGTCTCCGCCAATTTCTGCACGTTGAATGAGGGTCTCTTTAAAAGAGTTGTGGGTATGCAAAGGCTCAGCGAGCCAGATATGTGTGATGTGGCATACTGCGTTTGGACTCTCAAATCTAGCAACAACAGCAATTCTGGAGAAGATTGCATCAAGGTTACGACGTGCTGCGCAGTGGTCAGGAGACTATCCTCTGCGGCTCCAGACGCCGGCAACGTTTCCGCGCGATGCTTTGCCAACCCCATTGATCTGGATACGCTGTCAAGAGGTAAATGGAACCTTGGCGCCGTATCTGACGAGGTTTCCGTCCTACTGGTCTTGTTGCCGTGCTCAGCCGATGCAAAACCTGCAGGCGAGCCCCTCCTGGAGGCTTCTGGTAAATGTAAAGACCCAGGTGAGAGGAGTCGTTTGGGAGACTGCGACAACTCGCTTGTCGCTGGATCTAGAGAATCGGCTTTGCCGTGCAGTGATCGGGTAGGCACCCCCCTCGGTTCAGAACTGGGTCTTGCGTCCTCCCATGGGGGTGACGCCTTGCTGGTTCTGCGTCCGTCAGGGTGTCTCAAGGATATGCTAGGTGTCTTGAGATTGCCGCCTCCAAATCCTGCAAGAGCGAAGGCAGCCTTGCCTTCTGATTGGCGTCGGAAAGCCTCGAAATCGGGATTCTGATCTAGAGGAATGACTGTTGGCGAGATAGCAGCCGTTGATCTCACGGCGGAGGACGGAGGGCTCCAATTCTGGCGGGTCTGGTTGCCACCGGCTTCCGTGAGGAAAGAGCTGTCACCACTCTGGAAGCCAAAGTAATTAGGACTTGGAGTCTTTGGGGCAGGAGTCTGTTGCTGAGGGGCTGGAAGTCGGGGTGAGAACAGCGGCGGCATGCTTGACGTGTTGGAGGAGGCGCTGTCGGCCGACGTTATGCTCGGCGCGGCGCCTGGTCGAGATGACCGAGAGGAGATCGTCCTATGGATGGCAGAGCGGGGAGAGGTCGCAGTCTCAATCATTTCGTCAGGCGTTATAGCACGTGCCGAGAATCCGAGTCCATTGGGCGGTGAATAGGGAAACGGCTCCTCAAGATGGTGGAAGTAGGTGGCAATCTTTGGGTGGAATTTCCAGATTCTCAAAAGGCACAAGCAATGCCACGCAGATGAGGTAGAGGATCCTTAGCGTGGCTCATCATGTACAGAAGGCGAGGACTAGTGACGAGAGAGAGAGAGAGAGAGGAGGGAAACGCTAGGAGGTGTGGTAGGCTAGATGGTAGGTATGGATTTGCAGTGGGTAACGGGGTGACGTATGGCCCTGGGTAACAAGAGGGCAACAGAGTTGATTACCAAAACGAGGAACAGGCGTGTCCGGTCACGGAAGAAAGAATTGCACGAGTATTACCAAGACAGCACCGGAAGTCAGAATCAGACGGTAAGGGTGGTGCAGAGTAGGGAAACGAAGAACCGTTTGCCTGCTCTACCTATCTCGTCGAAAGGGGAGTCGGACGAAGGTGCTTAAGCTAGGCGGACAGAAACATGCCTCTGCAGCTTACACAGCAAGGAAGAAGAGGAGACGAGGGCGGCGAGGGGGAAGGGAGGGAGGAGGCGGGAGCAGAAGAAACAAGGCTGACCCAGTGATGAGCAAGTGGGTGTATTTCGAGAGATCTGCATTACGACCGACAGTGAGTGCTGTAGCAATGTGCGTGTTAAGGCACACTGTGCCCTCGGTGGCCATCCAACAGACCCTGCAGAACAAGAGACGGGCTCGTGTGAAAAAGTGAAAGGGCCCGGCCAGGGTGACGCATGTGGTCCGGGCGATGGCGATATCTACGTCAGGTGCGCCACCCAGATTCGACCCTCTTTATTGCCCCCCGTCCAGACTTCGCAAGCTTCCCTCTTGGTTGCGTCGTCGGTTCTGGTGCCTGTCTGTCGCAGCGTATTGATCAGGCTACATTCCACGCCACGCCATGCCACGCCTCATCACCCATTCCTCGTGAGGCCGATCCCACATTCCCGTCTCGAGACAGACCAAGGACACCTGCATTGTTAGCCAGCGTGAGTGGTGCGGTTGTAGTGCCAAGTACAGCAATCTGATCTAGATCGAATCCGTAGAGGATCGGCAGCCTGGGCCAGGCTTTTCGTCATCCGGCTTCGACCTCACTTCTCTCTCGCATCCGTTTTGGACTGTTCTCCCAAGCCACCCTTGTGCAATGGAGGGTCCCGTAAGCCTGAGGTGCAGTCTAGTCCACGCATCAGATACCAATCCTCACTGAGTACATACGGCAGCTGCTTCAAATGTGGGTCTGATGCAAGGAACGGCTCTCCATTCAGCCGTTCTGTCTACACACTAGGATGTGGTGTGCCCTGCACCTCTGGCTAGTGGATGTCTACATGCTCGCTGAGGCATGGGTTGTTTCCTACACACGCCGCTTCGCCATTGCAGTCCAGACATGTTTTCCTGTACGGACTGCGGCCCGCTTATGGAGGCAGGGTGTGTGTAGTGCAGGCGAAACATCGGTCTCGAAAAGCGTCTCGTGTGAGGTTAGAGCCGCCGTCTGAAGGCATGCAGCGACGCGGTCCCTGCACCTGCCACTCGGGGCTGAGGCAGATCATGCAGACAAGATCTGCCAGCTCTCTACACAGCTGCAGCTGCTGGGATGAGTCCCTTGCCTGACTGCTTGAAACACATAGGCACTCTGTACACTTATGGTTCGCGCATCCTCGACTGCAGATGGTGCAAGGTTCGCGGTGGTTTGCCGAACCATTTCTTGGTCTACAGCTGATTGGCACCTTTGTCTCATATGAGTGTCAGCATACCGTCTCAGGATCCTCCAAATGCAACCGCTGTGTATCGCATGGCAAGGCTAGATGATGTCGTAAACCAAAAACTGCCCTGGTAGTGTTGTTCTAGAGATCAAAGCAAGCGTTCTTATCTTGCTCCATGTGAAAATAAGTCCTACTGACAAGGATCGGATATTCTTATGCTGTCAACTTGGCACCATCATCTGCAGATCAAAGATTCGTAGTCGCTACAATGACCTTATTATAGCGGAGCCACTGCCTATTGAGGGATCCGCATGAGACCTAAGTGGTACTGTGCAAGCAACCAAACCCTGATCGACCCTCTTGCATGACACCACTATCCACTCTCCGAGGTCTGGTCACCTGTAGTGTTTGCTACCCTCCTCGTCCGTGGCGGTCTTCAGTATGTAGATGTCTTTGTGGCGAGCCATATATCACGAATCCTATCATCCAATCCGAGTCAGTGTAGTACCGTCATGTCTGGACTGGGAATGAAGAATGATGTGTTGGCCACATTTGGGTATGGTTCTCGTCAACGCTTGAATCAAGCCGCCTTTATGCTATTGTTCGTGGATAAGCAAAGTCTCCTAAGAAAACCAGTCGAGGGCATCGCACTTTTAGCTGTCTTCTGACCGTACCAACTTTCAGCCTGCCAAAAAATCCCTGCTTTCAGCTGTCTCTTCAAACATGTATCCTTTCATAACAGCAAAAATGGGATTATACCATCTGGCTATACAATAACTTCAGAACGGTAAAGGTTTTACACCATAATGAAGAGATACGTGTCAATGCCCACTCTCGGAATCGAACCGAGGATCTTGTCATGACGGTAAATGCTCGTACGAGTGACACGCTGTACCCCTAAGCCAAGCGGGCGGAATCGACAGATTCTCAAGACCACCGCTTATTTCTTCAATATATAATCCTCGAATCTTGCGTTCCCGTTGGTTGTTGAAACTGTTCTCATTGCGATCATTTGGTCTCTTTGGAGGGACGCAATGGCGTACTTCCTTGTAGTAGTGATGACATGGTGGTTTGTCTTTGCGCTTCATCTATGGACTCCATTATCAGCCTGTCCTGCGGGCAGTGCATCTAGTGAGATAGTGTTGGCGTTCATTGTGCAAGACAGAGCGGGCTTTGCAGTCCATTAGGGCTGTAAGTACACAAAATACAGTGGTGGTGGCTAGGTCGAACCCCTACAGCATACGACATGCGGGTTGTATACAACTGATGGCTTACAGCTGACAGGGTTGGAGCTGGATAGGTAGTACGAAGCTTTGAAACGTAGACAAGAAGAAAGGGGGCATGGAACGATGAGTGTTGATAAACTTGACGAAAACCCAGCTTGGGGAGATGAAAAAGGAACAGAGATGCATTGGAAATGGTTTCTTTTGTCACGTTCTGTAGACGTCATATCCATCACATCACATCACATCACATCCACAAGACGAATGGGATCTTACAAAGTATTTACAGCAAATCGTAGAGTCGCCGTTGGTATCATTCCCCAAACCCAATCCGTTATGTCGCCTGAGTCCCAAAACGCCTGTACCTAACCATGGTGGCCTTCAACGCGAAGAAAGAGCCCTCTCCATTTTCAAATGCTGCTGTGTTCTAGACGTGTGCAACTACCTCTCCGTTCTACGCGTGCGGATGTTGAACATGCTGAACCGTCTTCTCCGTCTCTCCTCGCCTTCACTGTCTTGGGTGTTTGTGGCGTCTGTGGCGCCATCGCCGGCACTGGGCACGTCAGGGGCGCCATTACTATCGACGTTCGCGCCCTCGGGGTCCTGTCCACCTCCAGGTAGATGGCCATCACGTCTCGCGTCAGCAGGAGCAGTGGCGGCACTTCTGAATGCCTGTGCGCGGTCACGCTCGTTGATCAGATCCGGGCCAAACATTCCCCTGAGGCCCAGAACGATCGACCTGCGGATGCTCGAACGGTTGCCGGTAGTCCTCCAGCCATCCTGCAGCGGTGGTGGGAGGTTGTCAATGTTGTTGCCATCTCGATTGATGGGATTTCCGTCCTCATCCACCTCGCCGTTCTCGCTTCTCGCGCTCTGTGGACGGAGGTCGATACGGCAGAGAGGGCAGGTGCCGGACACGTTCAGCAACCAGGGATCGACGCATTCCGGGTGGAAGCGGTGGTTGCAGGGCAAGACACGCTGGTCCTGGCCGATCTCAAAATCGTCGGTGCAGATGCTGCAACCTTGCGTTTCTGCCTCCATATGGACGTTGTGGATCGCGGCGGCGGGCTGTGCAGCTTCAATAGCATTGGTGGATGAGGTGGAGTTCCTCCGCTCCATGACAGCATCCTGACTCGAATCTTGCTTCCCAGTCGAAGCCGTGACAGAGGCCGCAGAATGTGTGTGGGTGTTTGCCTGCTTGTCACCTTCTGGTAGCCCATCTTGCCGTTGGGCAGCGGGTGTAATGACGTCGGCGCCGAGCTCGAGGTCCTCAGGTTTACCATGGGCTCCCTCATCCGCCTCGCGTTCGCCAAACTTAACAATGGGGAGTGAGTCGAGCATGGCCCTCGCCATCCCTCTGGCGCGGCTCTGCCGTGACCTGCCGATTATGTTGCGAGGTCCATATCGCTCGGGGTGGCGATGTGCTCTGACCGCACCCGTGACGATGACGATCAGGAACAATGCAGTGATGATGCCAGTGATCGAGTAGAGGATGATCATTGCCACAGCAGTGCTCGGCGCTGGGCTCGAAGGTTTCTGTTGTCCAGCGCCGGAGCTGGTGGAATTGCCATCTTGCTGAGTCGAGTCCCCAGTCGGTACAGGCTTGTTGACTGCACCATTCAGCTGGTCTGCCTGTAGGACACTTGCATACAGGGCGTCATTACTGCCAGCCCTCTCGTTGTCCTCAATCATATTGAGCAAGTCCTGCGACGCAGTGGCATTCTTTAGAGAGTAAACCGGCCAGTAGGCATTCCCGATCCCGCTCAGGTCGCAGTAATCTCCTTCCTGCGTATACCATACAACGGCCGTGACATTCCTGTTCTCAGCGATTGAGAAGACATCGAGCGGGCCAATGTTGCCAGCGTAAGCTCTGACATCGCAGGAGATGAGCACGACCTCATGATCATGGACAGCGAGGTAACTGCTGTCGTTCGACTTGTAGACGGCACCAGCGAGGCCATGAGTTGGAATGTTGTCAACAGCGTCCCTGGTCAGAGGCATGAGATCTGCAAGTGGGACCATACGCCCATCTTGCGAGATGAGCATCTCGACGCTGACATTGTTCTTGAGATATGCACTGGAGTCGTTCCAGTTTGTTGGCGTGACGACTTGCGCATATGCGAGAGTCGAAAGCAGTATCGATAGACAGAGCGAGAGACAGCCGCGGGCCCACAAGCTGCGAAACATCCTTCCTCTGCTGCAGACGACAGGACTGCTGGTATAGCGAAGGCCAGGAGGGAAGGCACAAAGATCAAGAGGAGGAACAAGATGTACCTAGGTGGATTAAAGCGACAGTCAAGACTTCACCATGGGACGATACGACAAGGGCTGCTCCTTCGTCCATGCAAGCACGTGAAGATCAGAGCAGGGTAGTAGAGCAGAGCAGAGCAGAGCAGAGCATGTAAGACAAGGATAAACATCTGCTGTCGTATGGAGCCGAACTGGAAAGAGTCCTACCCGTCAGGAGCCGCCAGAGCCAGTCTTCCGTTGGTCCCTAGAACGACACGAACCATGCAGCAGCGAGCGAGCGATGCGATTGCGATGCGATTGCGAGGCGACCGCGAGGTGGCAAGCGCCCAGAGAAGATGAAACAGGTGTCAGAAGGGAAAGGATGACAGCATGGGATGCCGCAAAAAGACCAGGAATTGCGCGCGCTTCCAATTCGCGTAGCGCTGGCAAGATGCAGTGAGATCCCACCTAATCCAACAACATCAGAGACGCGCAAGAGGGAGAGAAGCAGGCAGAGGCAAGAGATGGAATAGCATGGCATTGCATTGTGGTTTACCGGGCGACTTCGGCGCCTCTTTCTCTGGGTGACTACCTACTTGGGTACCACCCAGTGCCGTATGTACTAGACCCCATGCGCAGCGAGGACTCTTTGATGCAGATCTTTGGTGGGATGGAATCATTACACATTACAATCTCTTCCAGCGTCCCACCCCTCATTCACTTGCGGAGCGGCTCTGACTGCAACGGAAGTCATGCCGGCTTAATCAGCACCCGGCCAGCATCTGGCCTCCAGTATCCGTGATTATTGCCGGAAAGCCGCGGGGGAGGAGAACTGGGGTGTCCTACTCTCATCTCTGAAGACATCACATAGGGTGCCCCGTCGCTGTGTTGGCAGGGGAATGTAAAGTGGTACATGATATGAAGGCGAACGTAGAATACAGTACAAGCCGCTGCTGCGGCGCAGTCACTCCCCACCCTTTCCAACAACCGGCATTCTTACGCATCGCAAGCTCTTGTCATCATAGACAGCCTCCATGGGGCGATTCCAAATCATGGCCCTCCGATCTCACCCTTGACCTCCCTACCCTCGCTGGCAGTGACGAATGTATCCAGAGCCGGCCGCTGTTGCTGCTGCTGTTTCATGTCCCTGCTGACTTCCATCCTCGACTCAGCCATCTGTCCGTCCCCGGAGATTGCGCCAGCCGTCTGTGCATTGTTAAATCGGCTCGATGGGGGAGTCATGGTGATCTTGGGAGCTGCCTTGTCCTTTGGCGGAGGTGCCGGTGGTTCATCGCCAGCGTCAGTCTGAGTCGTGCTGGATGGAGCAGCGCCATTATTGGAGAGCGGCTTCCTGTCCAGCTGTTGTAGCTGTCGCGGCCTCTGTGGTAGATGTTGCTGCCTGGCTTTGCCAGAAGGTTCCTTGCTGGACTTTCGAGGCGGGTGTGGGACTTGACTGACTGGACCACCGCTACCACCGTCTCCACCACCAGAGGCTTGGGTGCTGACTTCGTCTTGCACGATGTTCGGTGGCTCGCGCGATGCGGGTGGCGACGGTATCCTCTTTCCCACGATGTTTCTTCCTGCAACATCTTCCTCGTCCTTGACCCCCCCTCCGACAGGGGCCATTGAGCTTCTCGGTGTGAGGCTCATTGGTGTGCTACGGTTGCTCTTTTCGTACTTCACGCTTGTAGGGTGCTCGGTGCTGCCGCTTACTGCGTCCATCGACAGTGTGCCATCCGGCGCCTGGCTGTCTAGTGTGGCAGTCGAGGGGTTCCAGACAGCGTTGCGTAGCTTGAAAGGGTACGCAACTGTGCCGGTTTGAGATCGATTGCTGCTTGGTGACAGGTACATTGTATCTGTCCCCTCCAACCTCTGGCTCGCTGGCTGCGCTTCTGCTGTTGGCGGCCTTGGCGGCTCGCTGTGTGTACCCGCGTATGATGCAGGTCTGCCATTGATGAACGTGCTCCCCAGCCCATCCGCTGCGGGAGGAGAGTGCAAGGCCGTCAAGCTAGGCGATACAAGCCGTTCTCTACTGGTGTGAGGACGGCTCGAACCCTCTAGAAGCGCCGAAGGTTTTCGGAAAGGGCTGCGAGAACTGCTGGGTCTTGTCGTTTCCTCCCTTCCCCTGTTGCTTGCCACAGCCGCTCTCTCAGCAGATGTTGTAGGCTGTTTTCTCGTTTGTCCCGAGCTTGTTACAGGACTGCCATTCCTGTCAGGCCCTGCTTGCGAGGGATTGGGTGTTTCTCCCTGGCGGCTTGCTCCTTGCGCGTTACCTTTCTTCCCTCCTTCATGACGCTCCATGGTCTCCTCATCGTGCTTACTTCCCCAGCCTGTCCACATTGCTAGTCCCCAACTCTTGCCGGCCTTCTTCCTCTCATCGTCCATCCCTTTGCGCCTTCTGCTCGCCAGAGCTGTTGGTGGTGGTTGCTCACCCGGGAAACCCTCATATCCCTTGGCCGC